TGTGTGTGTGTGTGTGTGTGTGTGTGTGTGTGTGTGTGTGTGTGTGTTTATGTGTGTGCAAATTTATCAGATAACATACAAAATCTCTCAATATTCAATTATCTAAAAAACTACTAACTAAAACTGCACTACGATACAATATACATAAAATATTTTACCTACACACATATCATAAACCTTCCATGATGTGTTCAAAAACCGTAAATTACAACCATCATAAAGATAAACAGCTTTGTTAGAACAAATCTTACTCTTAACTGTGAAAATGTTATTATTGGTTTATTAATAATATTGACTTACAATAATAACATCAAATTCGATTTTATCAAATTTAGAACGTCTCTGAAAAACAAAACAATTTGATTCGGCCTCAATTATAATACCAGTCGAGGTGAAGTTTTATTCGACATTAAATGTCAATAGCAAACAATTTTGAAAAATTTCGCACGTTACTTGATATTGAAGGATATTATAGTTGGGGCCGACGCTAGGTCAATGAATTAAATAAAAACTACGGTTGAGTGACATGCGTGAGAATGTTTTTATTTACCGCATTGACCTACCAATATTTGCCGCCATTTCGCCAGTCATAACATGCTGTTCCTGAACACATCATAGACAGCATGGAAACTCGCCTATCGGTTCGTTTCATATACCCACACCCATTGACTTACAAATAAATGGACGACGGGTCTAATACAAAAACCACGAAAGAAATGTCACAAGTCAACCTATTTAAACGTAGTGACATATAAAGGAATATGAAAAAGCTAAAACGTTGAATTTAAATTGTAATGTCATCGCAGTACTGTCTAATTTTGCTTGCTTCGCTGTCAGTCGAACAAACGAAGACTAAAGCGTGAATGACGCTCTGTATACGATTTTAACGCCCTATAAGTTCGGACACTTTTCAGCGCGGACCCGACGTCCATATAATTGTAAGTCAATGACCCACACTCTTATTTGAATGCCCTTCACTAAGTAATAGTCACATAAACTACTATAGTGAAGTGAAAGAAAGAAATGCTAAAATAGAATTGAAGCTAAAATTGAATAAATCCACTTTATATAAAGCACGGCTTTATGAGCATATGCTTACCTACCAATATTTGTTGTTTGAAATAAAAAGTACGCAAGAACTACAAATGGGTTTGGTAACATTACACTAAGGGCTACTACATTATTTCTATTAAACATCATATTTATTACGCAAAGTCTAGTCCATTATTCCATTATTGTAGTAAATACTCACAACTGCTCAAGATGCTCCATGCCGTGAAATACATCTGATTCAATGTGACTGATCCTGTTGCGGTACAAGTAAAGATACTTGAGGCGTAACAAGCCATGGAAAGCGCCGGAGCGAATCGCCTGCAGCTTGTTGTCGTTGAGGAGAAGTGAGCGCAGGTGGTGAAGGTGACTGAAGCCGCCAGGGATTATTTCATAGATCTTGTTGAAGCGCAGGTCCCTGCCGACAACATCGATACGTTAGAAAAAAGTTTTGATAAATAATACATGTAACAAAAACATTTCATGGGACTATGGTTGGCTTTTTGCTTAACCATCCAATGGAATAATCTGGTATAGAGCATGAATGGTTACGAAGCAAAATTCATTTCTAGTCCTTTTGCACTAACAAATATAACAAAACTATGTAGGTACCATGTTTTTACTTTAACTTTGGTTTTATATGTTTTACAGATTATACAAAATGTTTGCGCTTTGGCACTATCTTAAATACAGGGAGTAAAAAAGGTCAGATCATTTCCCAGCTTGCGATAATACTCATAGATAACGAGCAAAATACAGCATAATAATTGTTTAATTGAGCGACTGCAACTGTTCTTTATTCTCATGTGTGCGTTCATAAGCTGAACTACGTTCGTAGGTATAGAGCGTAATCATTTTTGGTATAGGTAAGAATAATTTATTGTTATATGTATTATAGATATAACTAATTATATCATTTCAATCCAGTAACGTAATGTAAATAACTAATTGAAACTACACACATTTTCTAAAATGTCGATTCAGAATCTACGCTACAAACTTTAAATAAAGTAACTTTTCCTTCTCTCCTTTTTAACAACTCCCATTGCGTCTTCAGTAAATAAAAATTGGGAACATTTCAAACTGCATCGCATTCACTTTTCGAGAAACTGCGGTTTATACCCAAGTACGGTACTTGTTATAACTTTAAGGCTTCAAATACGTTGGTGCTGTAGATGCCACTTAAAAGTAGGTACCGATTCGGAATGAGGTCTATTTGTAGAAAACTAAGTTTATGGAAGCGAAATAGAAATGTTTATTAAGAAAATACATTTTATGAGCACTTCTTACAATTTTCTACTAAATATTATGGTGCATTCAAGCGCGCTGTTCCAACCGTTAAGTACTATAAGGATTCTTACAAGAAAATTGTTAGGACAATGATTGTGAAAAAAGATATTTCACAATTATTAGTACCTACACATACAATATTTTTCATAAACACACTACCGGATACATAATTCGAGTCATCTTTCATTTACTTTTTTTTTCATCATTAAAGGGCTTGAATATAAAAATATGGTTATCGTAATAGAAAAAGTTTTCCCCAGTTTTTTAAATTCAAATTTTCAATAAGGACCTAAGGAAATGACGTTTAGTATACCAGTTTCAAAGTTGCATAACTATTCTTTATCTATCAGGTATTGTTTAAGCTTTTAATATTGAAAATGCAAGGTAGCTCGAATTATGTGTCCGGGAGTATATTTTATTAATACGTAAAACATTGATACAAGTCCTTACTAAGACACTACTGTAACGTTTACCTATGTATACTTAGCATCATAATTATGTAAGCACCCAAACTAGCCAAAAATATATACAGATAAAACGTGGTTTATCTATACATTCAGGGCCACGTAATATCTGCAAACCTCTCAAAAAATAACAACAACCCTAGTATTACTTGAAGGGAAACGAAAATTATTTCTTCTTAGAGCTCTTTCTTCTCACTACGATTCAAATATTCAATTTGAATCCTAGTGAGAAGGAAGAGCTCTTCAACATTTAATAAAATTTCCAAGAAGCAAAAAGTATACATCCAATTATTGTAGGAACTTAGGAACGAAGATTTCATTTAAAATATCATTTTAGGACAAAGGATATCGGCACCACTAAAAACAAGGAGACGGTTTGTCAAAGGAAGGAAGCCTCGAGGCAAAGGTACATACATTATTTGGAAACACTTAAAGAACAATGTAGCCACACCTGGGAAGAACATTTTAATCGCGCAGTAAAGACATTTGGTACAATGCGTCGCAACATTTCAGATTTTTTGCTTTGACGGTGCCGATACGAGCAAAACAAATCTAAGCACTAAATTTCGGGTCCAATCCGGATATATTTTTCTTAATGACTACTCATCCTGAACTCCACTACTTATTTGTAAATGAATGTGTTGGCGAAGAAAAACATTTTTAGATCAGAAGCGTAAATACACGAGCAATTGGAAAGTTTAAAATCCAATATCGCACTACGTTTATTTTAACAAGTGCTCGCGAACAGTTTAATATATGTTGTTTCAAGTCGAATGGGCGAATATAACTCTGGTATGGTGGCGGTTGGCGCTCGATTGCAACATCACATTAATGGTTACCCCTGACATAAATTAGAAACTGACTAAGTTTTGATTTCTCCGAACAGGATTTCGCGGAGTCTGAGTCGGACAATTTATAAGTCTAATTATATTATTATTATATAAAGTGACGGGACGAATAAATCATGGTGAGCGACACGCCGACCAATAACCATTTCAGTCACACAGTCACACTTTAAATCGCAAAGATCTGAAACACATGCTACTGCGTCCGTCACCTTGAGATATAAAGTTGTATAATGTGTTACTTAGTGAACATATAATATTTTTAATCCCTTAATTCTAAACGACAACATAGTCATATAAGATGTATTGAAAAGCATAATAAGTTGTAATTATTAACACAAAAATCGAACACTCAGAAAAAATTCCTTCGATCCGTCCGGAATCGAACCGACTTCGTCTAGCATACCGTGTCAGACCCTCACGAAATTTTCTGTGTTTGTTGTCGTGTCTTAGTTTGGTTTTATCAACGACTTTTTAGGCGTAGCGTCATCTATGAGAAATCTTAAGTATATCGTCGAAGGAATTTGTTCTGAGTTTTCGATCTTTGTATTAATCTTTGTATTGATCTTTGTAATAACAAACTAGTGGAATAAAATCACAAAAAAATTTTAATATCAATTCAATAAAAATTTTTGAGCATAACAAGCTTAACTTAACTGCGGCAGAAATATTTGAGTTAACGTGGTGTTCATTTGATGCATGTTTACATGCATATTTCGAAGGTATTCTGGAATATACTGGAAAAGCCGAACTCAAAAGCGCATAGTTCTCTTCACGACATAAAATACAATAATCAGTTTGCTGTTAGTTCAAATAGATTTAACCCTATCGCATTGTTCTACAATTCAACATCGTTATAGCGTAATTTCGGTTTGAATATTAAGTAATACCAAATCTGCTTATGACTATGCACACAGGAATTTATTTATGGACTTAGAGTATAGTGTAAAATGTTGTAAATATTTATCCACAAAGACTATAATTAATAACGGGATTTTGCACAAACATTTAGAGAACTCAGTAGCAAATATGTTGATCACTTTGTTCTCCTATCTCCTATCACTTTGTATCCTAGTTATGGGGCTATTAAGTAACAAAACATTCGTAAAACTCCAGTGTCGCGCGCATTCCATCGTACAAATTCAACTGACTGGGACCTTTTCTTTAAAAACTGAAACTGAAGCTTAAATTCGCTATTTCATTCTCAACTCACTATTTGAATTTATTCTCATGCCTACAGCGAGATTAAGTCCACGGTAACTATACCATCCAGCACTTGTATACAAAAAAGATATTTTAAATGTACAATCCTCAGTGACTAATCAGAAAAACATAATAATATAAAGTAGAGTTGACTTATATTTCCTAACGTCAATCAAAAAAATCATTGTATACCAATGACATATTTAATTTCTGAATTGAAATCCTTTGCTATTTCGGAATCGGAATTAATTGGGGGCGTTGATGCTGTCCAGGGAGTGCTTGAAAAAAAAACCTGAATTATCTATATATACTACAATACCATACACTTTTTTTTTGTGTTAAGATTAAATAAAAAAATACGTGTTTTCAATTATGTTTTGTAATTATGTTTGTAGACGTTGATTTTTTTTTATCTTGCCTAAGTCGGCGGTGAGCAAAAAAGTTTGGGAACCTATGGTGTATTGCAATGCAGTGAATTAGTGGCAAAATCCCTCTTTTATCCAGAATCCGAGAAAATGACTATCAAACTACAAATTGCTGTCATAATGTAACTAGACAGGCACAAAATATATAAAATGTTCCAATTCTCATAAAATATTGATAGAAAGGAATGAATGTAAATTACCTTTCCTAGACGCACTGACCTTTACGAAATGAGGCAACCTAACGAAACTACTGAACAAATTTAAAAAAAATAGCAGTCGGTACACTTTATTATTGATTTGTATAACATACAATATTTAAATTTTATGTCAGATACGCCGACGTAGAAACAAAATACGACGTAGATATAAAAAATAAAACAAGATTAATAGGTTAGGTTTCTAAGACTATATTGTGATTTATGTGACGTAAATGGACGGAACTCAATATAAATCTTTGTGTGTCGGTACGTACTACTTACACGATCAAATTCGAAAACTAAAATTTATCGTTTCTAATGTAAACAAAAATCCATTTTGACGTCATTCGTCCGGTTTGTTATGTATCTTGATGGAACTCTCAACTGCAGGTATCGTTTGTTGACGGTGTCATTTTAGAATTTCGCCAGTATAGAGTTTTCCGCTTAGTAATACTTATAAAAAAGTTGTAAAAATAATATAAAAACTATGGATATCATCGCCAATGTCCAGTTCTTAAAGCAACTATAGAATGTTAATATAAACGTTATTTATTTGTTATAGAACCGAAATAAAGATATGAATTGTCTAAATAGTATGTTATCTCAAATTTGCGGAAATAAATATGGATTTTTTTGTAGATGTCGAGACGGCTAACTCACGATACCACAGACCACTTTTCTTCCGTGCACGATATGATAGTAAATTAGTGGGAAAAAGAACACAACTTGTTTGGAAACGAAGGACATTATGTCTGAGGATAGACAGAATCAGGAGGAGAGAAATATGTAAATAGCGGTGTTAAAAATAATCGGAAAATATTCCCCTGCATTAAAACCTTTGCATTCCGAGATAATCTGGGTCAAATGATAAACGATAGTGGACTGAAACGTCTTTTATTCTAGTTACCCGTGGACCGTAAAATCTCAACGTTTATTCGTAAATGAAACTGATAAAATTACTTTATGAATATAAAGAAACACAAAATGAAGGCAG